AGCAAGACGGAAAAGAGAAAAACCTGGTACGTAAAACATTTCATTCCAGCATTTTTTTCGAAAAAAATGAAATATCTGTAACTATCAAGATTTCTTTTATAATTCTGGCATATATATATAACTGCTTCTTTTCCAAGATAAATTAGATATTGTTGAAAAATTAAAAAAAAAGAATAAGTAAACTCCTCCCCAAAACTAGCTATAACTGAAATGGTTTTACTACCAGCCTTTCCTCTTTTCCGTCTCGCTTTCACCCCTGCTGACCATTCTTGAAATTGATTAAATTTATTCAGTTACAGTTGTTATGGTTTTCAAATTGTGTAGAGAAACACACTTTGAAAACGGTATTGCAAAATTATAAGTGATTAAATGTATCCATTTACGGTTGTCAAGATTTTCAAAATATGTATAAATACACACTTAAAAAACTGTATAACACAGTTAAAACGGCTTAAATGTACTCAATTAAGAAAAATATAGTTTTTAAAGTGTCTATAGAAATACACTTTGGAACACAGTTAAAACTGATTAAATTTATTCAGTTACAGTAGTTAGGGTGTTCAAAGTATGTATAAAAGCACACTTAGAAAACTGTACAACACAGTTAAAACAGATTGAATGTACTCAATTAAAGTAGAGATGGTTTTTAAAGTGGGTATAAAAGCATATTTGGAAACCGTATAGCACAACTAAAACTGATTAAATTTTCTCTAGTATTATTTCAGTTATAAATTTTTCTGCTTGTTTTTAAATGTTTCCTGAAGAATTAATTTTAAACAATTCTGAAAAACAAACATTTCTATAGGTCCGGTTAGAAAATGTTATCAGGATCAGAAATAGATCTGAATGAAATTTTAAGGAGCACCATACGTGAAAACAATATTGAGATAAAGATCGTATGGACTAAATATATTAAGCTGAATGTTTATCGGTCGGTCATAATTTCTTATCGATGAAATTTTTCCTCAAATTTCTTTAAGATTTATAATATTATTGATATAAAAATGCTAAAATAATAAACATCAATATTTTCTACATTATTATTAAACGCTATCGATTTTATTTATATAAAGATGAAAACTATTGAGTTTTGGTACAGTTCATAGGAAAAATTTGTACGTTTTGGTCCAAATTTAATTTTATAATCTCTTCTTCAATTTTTAAAACCAGTTTAGAAAAAGATTCTACCAGACTTTCGCTGACAGTTTTCGAAAAATTTTCTTCACTTTATCCAATTAATGAAGAATTGAAATTATTTTTCGTTCTGCTATCTTTTTATGCGGGTCTTTCCTTCCATATAATCCATAGAATTGCTATAAGTTTAAGTTTTGGAAAGTTTCTCGGCCACTTTTATTTTTTTCTTGAAATTATGGCAAAAGACCTAATCTTGTTGAGAAACACTTTATTTTCGGAAAAAACCCTTCTATTCTGGTCATATTTCTTCTAACTATTTTCTTGTGTTGGTAGCTGTTGATTTTTTTTTATCCCTGGAACTAAAACATGTCCATTATTAATCAGGCACCAAAAATATGTCTCCAACTCAATGAAAAGACTGCCAAAATATGTGCATTTCTAAAGCTGAAAAATGTTGCTGGGCTTCCAAAAGTCCGCCAAAAATATTGAAGTGGTCGCAAACTACTCATCAAACACATCTAAAGGTTTCCTAAGAACGCAACCACTTCAAATTTATATACAGTGACCTCTCACTTATGCACCACCTCTTTTATGCACCTTTTTCATTTATACGACGATTTTTATAGGTCCCAGTACATTCAGTATAAAAATAATGATAAACATCCTTCGTTTATACGTCGCTATAAAAATAAAATTTTCAATTATGCGCCGAAATTTTAGGCTAACATTTAAATTTTTTTATCCTTTAAATATTTTTTTTTTCTTTTTCTAAGAAAAAAAAATGTTTTAAATTAAAAATGAAGCAAATAAGCAATCCTTGTTACAGATAAAAAGAATTATATGTTGTTAGATACCATTGAATTTTCTTCCCCTTGTGACCTTTTCATTTTTGCTGTTTGTGGAAAGACATTCTTTCTAAATTTTTGAATAGGTTGTCTTATCTGTTGCACCAACAACAATGACAGCCCATTTATCTTTAAGAAAATGACCATTCCTCTAGTCCAGAGGTTAGTTTTACTCCCATGCTGTTTTCTAGAAGAAGAAAATAACACGTGGAATACGAAAGATGAAAGAGACCGCGATCACTTACTTGCAGTCAGATGGACACCATGAGTAAATAAAAGGAAGCGGTCTGTTTAGTGACAGTCAAGCATTATGACGTCAAGTATTTTTCTTAGAAATTTGTCATGTGATGTTTCACCCCCTCCCATAAAACTCAAATTTTTTGTGAAGAACTGTTCATTTATATCTAACTAAAACTTGTGAATGATGAAAACGTGGTGGATGATACTGACGAGATGATAAAGTTCCTCCAAATCACACAGCAGTATTGAAAGCTTTAGACACTATTCCTGACTATTTACAATTTAATTTCGCTTCTGAAACTCCCCCTTATCCCATTTATATGAACTGGAAAAAACTGTTTTTGAAATACGTCGACAAAAACAAATACAAGCATGCATTAAGATTATTTAGTAAGAAAATAAATTGTCTTAAGGTATGTTAACTTTTTTCTTTGTATAATTATAGTAAATACCAAAACAGTATAAATATTAACATTTCATCTTTAGAAACATATTTATTCATGTTGTCACTGCAATTTACGTTGCGTTTTAGAATTTTGAAGTTTCTCACTTATGCGTCTCCTTCACTTATGCGCCTTTTTCCCTTGGCCCCTTGCACCGGTGCATAAGTGAGAGTTCACTGTAATTTGATTAAGCATGAATCAGACTTCTACATATGAAATAAGTTTCCAAATCTTTATAGCGATCTTGAAAATCAATTGATCAGTTTTTAAACAATAAATATACAATAAATATATTTTATAGCATAAATTTTGCTTCCATTTTAAAAATTGTGGCGGACTTTTGAGAGACCTGATACTGTTTATTTGAAAAATTTACTAAAAAAAATTAGCGGGTATAAAAGCGCGTGTATATTTGAAAAATATACATTATGAGCCAATGCATTAAAGTATGTGTGTATTTGTTAAATATATATTTAATCCAGGATTCTTACCGACTTTAAAGAGTTAAAAAAAATTGTAACAAAATCGAAACAAGTAGCATACTTCATACTTTTTCAGCAACACAACTTTTTAAAATAGAGATTATTTTAATAAATAATAATAATCATTTAATAATCACAAATTCTTTTCTATTGCTCGAAATTAAAATCATTATAATTTACAATTGAAACCAATCAGAAATTGCCTAATTTCAAACAATATGAATTTTTACACACGTGTATACCTATTGCTAAATCAACATTTTAAACGTAAATCTGTTATAACGCAAAAAACTTGCTGGTGATTATAAGCCATTTCAATATTATATGAATCTATTCATTATGACGATTTTGATTTGTTCCATTTCATCCAATACTCAAGTTCTCCAATATTTTATTTCTTTAAATACAGTGAAACCTTCAGGAAAGACCACCTATGTGTAGCAACATCCTCTATTTACGATCACTTTCGGTAGGGCGTTGGGCTCACGTCCGAGAGTTCGAGGGTTCGAACCCCACCGACCGAAGGCTCCCCGTATAGTAAAGAGACTGATGCATGTTAAATCTGTCGAGTCGCAAAAGTCCTCCATGTTACCATAACAAATCAATACCTATGGGGGTACTGGATTGGAGATCGATCGTTCTCTGATTCAGGTCAAAATTACGATCTGTGGATGAATGAATGGATGTATGAATGGGTCCGCCCTATAAACGGGTGTGACGCTTGGTGTGGAAGAAGTCAAATTCTTGGCCATAGATGTCGCCACTAGAAAACAAGAACAATCGCACCCGCTCTGCCTAAACAGGCATACGCCAACAACGTAACGGAAATTTTTCTTTCTACTTGGTGCTGAAGAAAACCTTTAGGAGAGACTATCAAAACCTCTCCCAGCTACCGGACGAACCTCTGTACCAAATGCGGAAAAGGTTAAGTAAGGAAACACGAAAATATATCCACACAAAAAATTATAACAAAGCAAACAAGTAAATTAAAATGTATTCAAAATATTTGAGTGAGGCTCTTATTTAGAGAGCTCTTTTTGACGATCTCTAAAAGATATATACAACCTCCTGTTGAAGTAAGAGTGCACGAAAGCCAATGCTATCAATGATTTATTTAAGAGTAGAAAGTTAAATTAGAAAAAAAAAGTTTAAAAAAAAAAAATAAATAAATAAGCATCTCAAACGAACAAGATTCTTCTCATCATTTAAAGCTAAGTAATTTTTATGACATAAAACTAAAGGCAAACTTAAGCTTAAAACACAATTATTTATTTATTTAAAATAGTTCTATCATTTATAAATGTAAATTTGTTTTTCAACATAATTATATTAGTAGGGATCATTTTTATTGAGGCTAAAAATTTTATTGATCGGGAGTTTTATTAATCCCGTTAAATATTTCATGACGTGAACACAAGTGGCGTTTCCGCACTAAGAAACTGGTTAAATTTAAAATCGTTTGCGAAAAATCATGTGCCTACGATAACATTCTTAAGTCAATGGAGGTAACCACTATAAACGACCAACCTCCATTAACACGTTGAGCGCCGCGTCAGCCATCGATGGCTGACACTAAAATTAAATTTAGGCTGCGTCAACCACCGGTGGCTGACACTGAAATTACATTTAGGCTGCGTCTGCCACCGCTTGCTGACACTGACCTTTAATATAGGCGGAGAGAAACAGCTGGCTGACAGCGTATAACATGATATAAAACTATAAAATTCGCACTATTTTATGGAATTGCAGAAAATTTATTCAAAATTTGCTTAGTTATTGTGATTCTTGGTTTAATAGATTCAATTTAGTAGATTTTTATCCGCCACTATTTTTAAACAATTCGTAGGCATATATAATTCACCACTTTTATCAGATATGTCATGCTAAACCATTTATAAACTAGCAAAATCTGTCTATATTTGCAAATTTAGTTTGTAGTTGTGTGGCGAGACAAACGAGCCATGTAAAATTAGCGTGGCTCGTCAAAAAACTCTACTATCACAGATGCCCAACTTGTTAAAGAGCAGTTTATTGTGGAACAAAGATCGGTCTCTCCCAAGAGGTTTCACTGTATAATTAATGTTCTTATTGTGTTTCACAGTTTGGTTACCGCAGGTGGATAGCCTACCCGCGAATCGGGTTTGCTGCCACTGTGGTAAAGAAACACATACCCTTCACTCTGGTTGCATGCAAAGTTACTTGCTTTAAATGATATTCTTATTTTGCAGTTACATTTTGTGCACACAGATGCAAAGGGACGCATTGCCGTAGTTGGTGTATTCTTTAAGGTTTGTATGCAATTGCACAACTTTATTAATATTTGATCAGAAGTGAAACAATTTATTCTAATCCTAATTTGTTTTAGATTTTTGTTACTGACACGTGGAATCAGAAATTAACTTTAATAACGCATAGTATAACACTGATAGTTTATATACATGTAGTGTTTATATACATACATTATATGTAACGCATATAGTTTAACACTGAATAGCAAGAATTTACCACTAAATAATAATAATAGTTAATTATTTTTTTTAAGTCTTAATTATTTAGCTTAAGGCTGTTTTTCGATGTCTCCATCGTATATGAAATGATGTTTTTTAGTCGAATAATATGCTATTTTTATAACTGCTGTGAGCTTGCAACTGCTACTCATGACTGCTGGATCAAGTTTAGCCTATCTAAAGCCAGCTCTGTCTACGCTTAATTTGAAAATTCCGCAAAACGTCAATATGGAGAAAAGTCACAGATTTGAGAAAATGAAAAGCGTTTGTGGTTTAATTCTTTAATATTTAAAAACTTACTCCAGTGCTGGATTACCTGAGCTCATAAAAATTTACAGGATAAGGCAGTGATTTTGATCTTTTTCATCTATGTGGGAAAATGTAGCCAAATTGACGATATTTAAAAAAATTTAATAACCTTTTAAATGCTTAAGTTATTTGTCTCTTCTAAAGGCCAGATAATTCTTCACAGTGAAATTATTTATGTAATTTAAAATCATCGCGAGTTAAACTAAGTTACTTAAACTATGGCTTTTTTATTTTCGTTGGCAACAAAGTTTCGAAAAACAGTATTAGAAAGTCTACCGAAATAGCAATTGGAATTTCTTGTTGATTGCCATGTTAGAAATTACAAACTTACTCAATAGCATTGCTTCAAGTGTAAGTTACTTAAGCTATGACTTTTTTATTTTCGTTGGCAACAAAGCTTCGAAAAACAGTGTTAAAAAGATTATCGAAATACCTTGTTGATTGCCATGTGAGAAATTACAAACTTAATCAATCGCATTGCTTCAAGTGTAAGTTGCTTAAGCTATGACTTTTTTATTTTCGTTGGCAACAAAGCTTCGAAAAACAGCGTCAAAAGGATTATCGAAATACGTTGTTGATTGCCATGTGAGAAATTACAAACTTAATCAATCGCATTGCTTCAAGTGTAAGTTACTTAAACTATAGCTTTTTTATTTTCGTTGGCAACAAAGCTTCGAAAAACAGTGTTAAAAAGATTATCGAAATACCTTGTTGATTGCCATGTGAGAAATTACAAACTTACTCAATGATTTTTTTTCTTTTTTTTTTTAGTCAACCATTTTCAACAACACTGGTATGCGACCAATTTCGGATATGCTACAATCCCTTCTGTATAAGGGTACGGAATTAGATGTAAAAGGTGATATCAACTTAGATAAGTTGGTCAAAAACGGTTGCTCTTACTATCGTTACGATGGTTCTCTCACAACTCCTGGATGCGATGAAGGGGTTATCTGGATAATTTTCAAAAACCCTCTTAGAATTGGATTTTTACAGGTATACCATGATTTGAGAAAAAATAAGTAATTAATTAAAACCAATAAATTTTAATTTTATTATTTGGACAACAAACTATTGAATCTCAGGATTGCCAACTTTCTTCGCTTTCTTAGGAAATTTCCGTAATGCATACCTATCATTTTTCCCAGTGGTATTAAAATGGAATTAAAATTTCAACTTTAAGCAAACAAATACGTTGTATTTGAGAGAACGTAAGTTGATAACCCTGATAGTAGCGCATATTAATATATCTACTTAATTTTTCTAAGAATAGTGGTGATTAAAATCATTAAAAAATTGAGTTTATAAAAGAAAAAATAGTATATATTTACTACCACTTTAAATATGAAAATAAAATCTTCCGGAAAATCTGAAAGAGTTGGCTGGTATGGTAATGTATGACCCGTTGTTTCTTTAAAGTAATTTTTAACAGCATTACACTTAAATGATTCAAGAGGTCGTATAAAATGCACTTCATTCAAGCTTTTTCGTAGTGAGGTTTTTAAAAGGTTTACAAAATGACCAAAAATTCTTAAAGCTTTAGATTTTAATTGCCAACCACTCCACAAGATATTTTGCAATTGTATTTTAGAAGTTGGCAGCTCTGGAATTTTACGCAACAGCCACCACATTGACTGCTGACCTTAACTCTTTCGCGCCGACTGTCACAAATACGTGCCAGCATAAAACCGTATCAACCAGGGTAAAAAGATAAAACTAGAAAGAACAGTAGTTCTTTAGCAGTTTATTTGTGGGTGGAGTTATAATTGTTTGATTTATTTAATTCACCATTACTTTGTTCAAAATAAAACTATTTAGTTATACTTTGAATTCACATTGATTATATATATGATTAAACTAACGATAATTAAAGTAAAAGCAAAGTAAGCCTGTCAAATTAGAAACGACTACATTTAAGTTACCGTTGTTTATTTAATTACAACTTGATTCTGATTTTGTACGAAAGCTTTTCTGAATCACCCGTCCCCAAGGAGTTAAAATCCTACTACAATTATCAAATTAAGCATGATGGATGGGATAGGGGCTGGGTGCCCAGCTCAAAAATCAAAAGAAGAAGAAGAAGGAATTTTATGCTTCACAATAATTTAAAATTTTAATACTTCACATGTATCATATGAATTGTAGAGACGCTACAGGTGATAAAAAATGCAAAAAGCGCTGGAAATTTAATTCATTTCACTATGACTTACATTGCATATTTTAATCTCTTTAATTAATGTCATGAATTATAAATCGCCCATGGCACCTCTGGAAATCTGAAACATTAAAATTAATTAATTAAGCTTTCATTGTTAAAGTCGACGACGACGATCTGTGGTTGACCAAACCTCTTATTCTGAAATTTTGCCCTAGGGCAACTGGTACTTTTGGTATAGATAATATTATTAAAGTCGCAAACAAATTTTTATATAATTTTTGATTTATAGGAAATTTACTAGTATCTTATTAGTCTGGTTTAGCCAATTAAACAAATATTTGCTTTTTTTATGTATTTGCAGTAACCTTCTATATTTGAAATATGGATGAGAGTTTGTTGTCCATATAAATTCACAGCTGCTCAAATTCACATTGGGACCATCAGAAGATGGTCACAATGAAAATTCAAAGCTTGAAAGAAAGGAGAAAACAGAAATATAGATGAAATTGGTCCAATTAGAAAATACTGAATGATTTTTGAATGAGGCCGCGATACTGTTCAAGACTTTTTCGCTCACAATTATTTTTTTCAAGTTAAAACTTTTATAAATACGTCGTCAGAAAGCATGAAAAAGCTTTGCCAAAGAAATCAAATTAGAAATTAAATGAAATTGCGAAACAAATGTTCTTTTTTTTCTTCACCTTTTTTTAATTCTTGAGATAGATTATAGAGGTTAAAGCTAGGCCGTCTTTCGCGAAGAGTCATATTTCAAAGATCTGATAAAATATATACAAAATTCTATATGTTTTAAGAGATTTTGCATTAGTTACTACTAACTGAAAAAATATTTCACAAACACTTCGAATGTTTGAGATGACGGTAAAAATTAAGCATTTTAAATGTACAGTGCGCGAAGAAATAAATGGATCCTGAATAACTTTTGATCTAATGATTGGATCTTTAGGTTCTAGGACTCAGTCTACTGGTTCAAGGGGGTGACCTCGAATATGCTATTTAGTTAGTGAGAACGATATTTTAAGCACTGAAATTCGACACAAAAATGTATTTTCTTTAAATAAACATGTGTTTTTTTTTTCAATTTACAATTACATTCAATTTAAAATTACAAATTATATTCTTTAAAATGACGTAAAAAATTTTCAACCTTACAATTCAAAAATTTTTCAACTATTTTCGAATAAAATAAGAAAAAAATAATTAATACTTACTAAAAGTTACATTTTGCATAGAATTATCATTGGACAAACGAATTATATAATTGCGGGAAAAAATTTTCAATTCCTTTGAAACGTTCCCGAGATATAACGAAATACCAAAAATGTAAAATTAACATTAAGGGGATCCAAACTTACGACCGCTCTCCTGACCACACTATTGGGACATTATTTCCCAGATTGTGGCTCTCAAAATTCACTCGAGCGATCATGAGTTCCACAGATACTGTGTGGTACTAATGGTTACTTTACTCCCTCCGGAAAACAAGCTTTAAATAAAATAGTTTATTAGAAGCACCAAATTATTATTTTTTGTTTTTGTTTTCTGTTGCATGAGATTTTTGAACGGATCTCAAAACTTTTGAATCGGTCGTTGATTATAAAGCTGCAATCTGTTTCTCTCAGCAAGTTACAGTTTTTATGCAATTCAGTAATCTTTTCCTAACCAGAATTTTTATAAATTCACTCGAGCGAATAATAAATGTCGCCACTTCTCTGCTTCGTTGGGAGTGGTAGGAAGAAGGCGATAATACGATGCAATACGATAAGGTCTTAAATGTTATTTAGTCTTAAGTGTTATTTTCAAACAGACAGACAAGTGTATGCATGTATGTAAGCCTGTACGTTCTTTATAAACTTGTACATTAAACTTCTTTATAAACTTGTACATTAAACTTCTTTATAAACTTGTACATTAAACTTCATAAACTTGTACAAAGCACAAACCAAACTGAAAATATCATTTTGAAAAAAGTATGTAGCCTTAGAAGCAAAAGCTAATTTCAGATTTGCATACTTGCCAACTTTTGGTTTGTTCCATTATGTTTTTTCTCAGTGGTAGTAAAATAGAATTAAAATTTCAATTGTAAGCAAAATAATACGTTGTATTTTAGAAAGCTTTAATTGACAACAATGATAGTAAAGCATATTATTCTATATACTTAATTTTTTTAAAAATAGTGGTGATCAAAATCATTTGAAAAATAAATTTATAAAAGAAAAAATAGTATATATTTACTACCACTTTAAATATAAAAATAAAATTTTACGCCAAATGCGTAAAAGTTGGCAGGTATGGATTTGACGCGTTCAGGCCGGGTTGACCCACCGGTGGGTCCATGGCTGAAAGCCCTTATATAGCAAGACATTCCATTTTCGCATTTTTTTCGAGAAAAATAAAATATTTGTAACTATCAAGATTTCTTTTATAATTCTAGTCTATATATGAAACTGCCTATATTCCAAGGATAAAGTGGATATTGTTGAATAGTTTTAAAAATAATAAGTTAACTCCTCCCGAAAACTAGTTATAACTGAAATGGTTTTACTACCAGACTTTCCTCTTTTCCGTCTCGCTTTCACCCCTGGGTGGAGCAGTGACTTTAACTCGTTCCCGCCGGGAAAAGTGAAAATANAATTTTGCTACCGTCTGAAAAGAAGATTTCTGAAACTACGGAAATTCCGTAGCAGTTGGAGGGTATGGCTAACACTGTTAGGTAAGATTAATTTACATAAAAATTTGTTCCCAGTGTAATCTTTTCCGTATTAGTAGTTAGGCTTGTTTTAGGTTTTAGTTTGAAGCTTAATGGAAATAGAGTGAAAAATTAATATTTTTCACTGTATAAATTTGGAAATTTTTGAAAAAGTATTACAATAAATAAATTTGTCTTTATTACACAGTAGTGTTGTCTTAGAAAAGTTATTTTCTTCTTATTCTTTTTTTAAGTCACAAAAGTTGTCATTTGCTGTTCATGCATTCAGCCTCATATATTTACTTCTTTTACTTATTTACATTTTTTTTTGCAGCTTACTGAATTCCGACAGGTTTATTCAGTAGGAAAAACTAATGGGGTGGACATTAGTGAATGCAAAATAACTGGTAATCACAGACCAATTCAACCAATTAACAGCAGAACAATCAGATCTTCAGTATGAAATAATTAAGGAGCATTTTTTATACATTAAAACTATTATTATTATATTAATTTGTTAAATAATGTATTAATAAAATTTTGATGCCAAACTTTTAGAGCAATTATTTCTGTAAAATTATACATATAAAAAATGTATTCTGTAAAAATGTTACATTTTTTAACAAAAAAAAATGTTTAATCAGGTTACGGCAGGTTCATGAATGAGTAAACTAAGAGATTGGAAAAAACATAAAAAGAAAAGAAGAGACTTGTGTTTGACAATTCAGAGATCAAATATTAATTGCCATCCTTGTTTGTGAGTGGGAAGGTCAAAAAAACAAAAAAAGATAAAACGTTTAACCCTATATCAACTCAAAATCGGAAATGTATCGTGAATATAGTGCGATGTTTTAATTAACACAATTAAGTTTATTTTCTATTGTATGCATATGTCATTATTTCCTTTCATTGGCGAGGCTATCTTATTCCATAAATTGCTTTGGATTCAATATATCTGTTATTCAAAAAATATTTATATGTTTGTTTTGAGGATTAATACATTTAAATGTTTTAGGGGTAAGTTAAACATTTTAATAAGTAGAATTTTTTTTATATAGTATGATATTGAAATTAAATTATAAATGTTTTGATGACATATCAATGATGTATGAATAATGATGTGTGCTTATGTAGGAAAGAAAAACGTTTATTTTTGATTTTTGGCATCGTTCGTAACGTACCTTTTTAAAAAATGGGAATTGATCAAAATGATCTTTTATAAAATTTAGCATTGCTTAAAATGTGTGTTTAACATGGTCTTTCAAATTTTTTTCGCAAAGGAAAATAAAAAAGCCATAGATTAAGTCTTAGACTTTAAGCAAAGCAACATTTTTAACACGTTGAGCACCGCGTCAGCCATCGGTGGCTGACACTGGACTTTCCATTTAGGCCGCGTCAACCACCGGTGGCTGACACTGAAATTACATTTAGGCTGCGTCTGCCACCGCTTGCTGACACAGACCTTTCACATAGGCTGCGACTGACAGCGTATTAAATGATATAGAACTATAAAATTTACACTCTTTTATGGAATTGCAGAAAATGTATTCAATATTTACTAAAAGAAGTTATTTTATCGACTAAGAGTTCTGTTATAGATTGGGGGTGCCATACATATTCAGAGATGGCAACTTGCTCCAGACAGCAATATATATTTTAAAGTGGTAGTTTATCAATTGTGATTCTTGGTTTAATAAATTCAATTCAGTAGATTTTTACCCACCACTATTCCTATATAATTTGTAGGGTTACATAATTCACCACTGTTGTCAGATATGTCATAATAAACCTTCTAAAAAAATAGCAAAATCCATCTAATATTTGCAAATTTACTTTGTAGTTATTTACCGTTGCCAGATGGGCAAGCCATGTAAAATTAGCGTGGCGTTACATGTGAAAAACTATTTATGTCATTTTCCTATATAGAATTATTTGAGCTCAATAGCAGACAAATAAATTAAATGTTTTAAAAGTAATTTAAGCTTTTTAAAAACCGCCAATTCGGTGACTTTTTTCCACCTAGATAAAAATTATCAAAATCAATGCCTTATTTTCATTTTTCGCAAATTTTTATGAGCCTAAGTAATGCAGTAAGGTTTCATTGCAATAAACATCAAAAAACTGGACCGCACACGGTTTTCATTTTCTCAAAGCTGTGGCTTTTTTCCATATTGAAATCTTGAACCATTTTCAGAAAAGACAATACTACAGATATGCTGAACTTCAACTAACAGCATACCTGCCAACTCTTCCGGATTTTCCGGAAGATTTTATTTTTATATTTAAAGTGGTAGTAATTATATATTATTTTTTCTTTTATTATCTTAATTTTTAAATGATATTGATCAACACTATTCTTACAAAAATTAAGCACATATATTAATATGCGTTACTATCCTCGTTGTCAACTTAAGTTTTCTCAAATACAACGTATTTGTTTGCTCAAAATTGAAGTTTTAATTTCTTTTCAATACCACTGGGAAAAATAATAATGGAAGGGATTAAAAGTTGGCAGGTATGTAACAGTCATGGGAACGTTACTGTTAAAAAGTAACGAGTAAAAGTACAAGTGCCTTAAAAAAAACTAATGAGTTAAAAGCAAAAATATGACGAGAAAAGTAACTTCTGAAAAATAACGAGTAAAAATGCAAATAAAATTACAAGTAAAAAACAAAAATAAAAAGATTTTAAATAGATTTCGAGGAAATTGAAAATTCAGAAGAAAAATGCAGAAAGTTCTTAACTTAAAATGCATTAAATTTTACTTTAAATGTAGGAAATTTATAAATGCATTAAAATGTTATATTGTTCATTGAAATAGTATAAGTTGAAAATGTTCAGAAATCAAACCAGAAGACAAAATTTAATGCTTGTATGCAAAAAGGAGTTTTAATTTATGTTCATTTTAAAATTCTCAAATCTATAAAAACTTTTTATTTTCAGAAACAGTAGTACAAAATTAAATTTTTGAGTAAATTCGATAAACATTATAACGTTTGTTTAAAGAAAAAAATATATAAATAAAAAATTTTATTCATACCCCAAAAAATCCCATGAAATTCATTTAATTGTAAATTATATTTCGTTTTTATAAACTTTAAAAATAGTTTAAAATTTTAAATAATAACAAGTTTTCAATTTGCCATATTGAATTAACTAAATAATCAAAAAATGAGCACAAACGTTTTATTGTTAAATTTAATGATATGATGAACTAAATATCTCCATGGTATGACTCGAAAAGAAGAAAATATTATTTTTATACAAAATCAAAAAAATAATGAAGTTTTAGGATTTTTTCAATGCGTGCAATATTTCACTTAATTAAAGCATAATTTTTGTACCTGAAACTTAAATGCCAAAAAAAATTTTTTGTTGTGCAAAAAATGCTTGGTTTAGTAACGTCAAATAATTCACTGAAATTATTTTTAAAAACTTCCAATGTACGGATTAAAAAAAGGATGATTCTTTATTCTACCATGTTTCTAATAATAATAATCGCAAATGTCTTGACTTAGTATTTAATAAAAAAGAAGGTAGAACTTTGTATTGTTGCGCAGCTTAAATCTTTGACATATATATTTGGAAGAAAAAATTTAGAGCTCTAGCGTAGAACAAACATGGCTAATAGATGTTAGTTTAGATTGAGAGAACAGTTCAAATCGGAATATTTTAGTAGGGAAAGAAATTACAATTATATGAAACCTTTGTAAAACCAATTATACTATATGGAAGCAACTGCTAGAAAATGAGCAAATCAAAAAATAAATCAAATACTTACAAATGAAAAATCTAGAGAAGAATTTTTGGTACATTAACATTATGCTGTCCGCATAAATTTAGTGATAAGTTTACCATGTAACTGGTTCCGTGTAACTTGCTTCGCTTTGTAAAATAGTATTTTTTAATGGTAGCGAAATTTAAGTTACTTTTAGTTTAGTATTTTTCATCATAAGTAATTTTTTCACCTCCAAATATCAAAAATGTAAGTATGATATAAAATGCAACGTTAAAGCATCAAACTACTGGTTACTATATTAAAAAGTAGGCGAAACTATCTTTCTTTAACGAATTTTACTACCACCGGCCACTAACGTTTGGCTTGGACATGGCACCAACGTGTTGTCACCGGCTGTTAGTGTAAGGCTTGCGTATGGCACCAACGTGTTGTCACCGGCAGCTAACGTTTGGTTTTCACGTGACAACACGTTGGTGTCATCGGACATGAAAGTGTTAAGAAAATGGAGAATAAAATACAGCTGTGAATTAGTGTAACAAATTCAGAAAACCTAACATAAAGGTGGCTGAGTTATATAGGAGTAGGAGGAGCATCTGATGGATTGGTATGGAATAAACTGTTCAGACGGCCAAGGCTAAAAGCTGGCTGTGATGCTGATACGAGTAGAAAGTATTCGGAATTATAAAGATTTAACATCCTGAACCTTTGTTGAGAAATTTGAACTGTTTTTACCTTTGTATAGATTGTATATATATTATGCTAGCTAGCTAAAAGATATAGTTTTAAACAGGGCTCGAAAAAACTCAAAAATTTTACCCGTCTCCGAGGACGGCTTGTCCAACAATGTACCCGTCCTCCTTTGAAACTAACCAGTTGCTTCTAAATAAATAAAAATATAATTTTCTCTTATTTATTACAAACATTTATATAAATTACACAATGAATTAGTAGTTACTAGGATTACAAATACTAGGATTACATTATACAATAATAAAAGGATTACTAGGTTACTAATAGGAACCTAGTATTTCTTTTATAAAATAATTTATTTCTTTTATGAAATAATTTATTTCTTTTATAAAATAATTTACTTCTTTTATGAAATAATTTATTTCTTTTATGAAATAATTTAAATGACAAATGTCAAGTTATCTGGAATGTCAATTTGTACGAGGGTACTGCGTTTTTTAAATGAATTAAATATGACGTTTGACAGTTTCACAATCAAGCTAATGATTTACAGAGGTTTCTGCACAAAAATTTGAAAGGGGTTTTCCATTTAGGTAGATGTTCATAATTGCGTTTTACGCTTCTTGTTTAAGACCAGTACGTCATGTTTTTTTTTTTTTTTTTTTTTTTTTTTTTTTGAAGTTCATTGCTGAAATTGACAAAACATACCGTAGATTATAAACTAGGCGATTGCATGTGGAATTGGCGATGGATTACGTGTAAATGTGGTGGGAGAACGAAATTACATTAACCTAAACAGTGAAATTCGATATTTTTTTTCTCCTCCTCGACTAGCCATGATGAATAAAAATAACTCATTAATTCATTTTAGTAGAGAATTAAAAAAGAAAATAACCTTTTTATTCTTAGGATCACGTTACAAATAAACTGTATTTATATTTTACTAAGCGCAATAATTTGTATTTTATAAAACAATCTAGTTTTTTGATATAACAGATTTAATTTTTAAAATTTTTTTTACAAGAATTGTGTTTGTGAAGAAATAAAAATAATTTATTAATGAACCAATCACAAAAAATAACGTAACATTTTAATGCCATGTTTTATTGGAAGGCTATTTTG